GTTTATTTCAAATATTTTCCCAGGTGTATGCCTAACTTATGAATGTACTGGCGTCTTGTTCTCTGTCCTACACGAGATAAAAGTGATTTTTATCAGTAGAAAAAAAATGGTTGACTTGGCATTTTTATATGAAAAGAACAGTTGTTTATCCGCGATTTCTTTGTACTTCAATGTTTATCTGTCAGTAGATTCTAGGTATAGACACTCGTCCGAGGGGTCTTCACAATAATCACAGTGTCTGGTTTTGTTAATTAAAATGTTTAGCTGAAAGATCAAACTATTTATTGCAGTATAAATTTTGTAAAGTATTTCCTGATGATCGCATTGTGATATCGGATAAGTTATGGTGTTCAGTTTATTTTTTTTATCGAAAACGGGGATAAAAATTTTGGTATTTAGGCAAACGAAATGGAAAAAAACACAAGACTTCAATTTGCACACCTTGTTAAGACTTATATTTATGAAATAAATCTAGATAGGATAAATGGATATGGGACATTGAAATGTTGAACCGAACTTTTGTTTTAACTTGAATGCGAATGTGTTTTTTTCAGAAAAAGGAGTAAAATAATCATTCAGTTTCTTGCTCACTGGCGGTTTTCACATTTGAAAGGGGATAAATTTCAACTAGTTAGTTATTGAGTGTTTGTAGTGAAGGAGAACATAGGTGAGGGCAACCGAATTGTATTTATCGAAAATTACAGAGTTACTCAGTAAAATTGGAAAACCATATCGTAAACGGTTAATTTGCAAATCTTCAATCCATCATCAATCCATTGTCTGACATTTCACTATTCATGTGTTTCATACGAATTCCATTGTGTTCCCACTCATCCTTTCTTGATCTTCTCCCATCTTCTGCTGCCAGACATTACGTTTACAGTCGCGTCATACACTACTTATAAGTAGCGCGCACCGTATGTTGACCATGTAACATTTGACTAATTATTTGCTTACTTATACCTGTTACTCTTAGTAGAACATAAACAATTGACTAGCTTTCTGTGAACAACTCTATCCTCTGCTCTCCTTTCCAGTTGTTCTCAACTGATTTTCATTCTTTCTATGTGTGTTTCTCACTTGTTGACATAATGTGCCTATTATCCGTTCACCTTGAAGGTTTCAAGTGAGTACTTATTGTCATGATCAAGTTGGATGATTTTCAACATGTGTATCCTATCGACATTCAATGACTTTTAGTAATTTGTTGTTCATTTGGAATCTAGTTTGTTCTCTTCAACAGTAGGTGGCAACTGATAATGTCCAGCGAAGGGACAGACAAATATTTTACCAATATACCTCATATCTAGCTTGTGTACCATAGATTCTGAACTGTTATGTCAAGGCGCCTACATCTTCTTAAATTTCCCTATCAATTTTGATTTGATTGGTGCATATTGCATTGTATCAGAGTATCTTTCTTTTTCTCTTGTGTGTGTTGAGACCTAGTGTCGCGTAGGCTTCTGCTCCACCGGTTTTCTTCACCTGCATTTGTTTTTGTGTGTGGAATGTAACTGCTGGATCATCTAAGCTGTCCACTGCATTCTGTTGACATCTTAATCAACCGTCCGACCACTAGAAGAAAACAGCATGGTTGAGAGTCATCAGCCCTAACTGACATCAATTTTCACATGGAACGAGTCTGTGAGCTGCCTTTCATGCACGATGTCGTAGCTTAATCCATCCATTTCGTACGATGTTAAGTATCCTGTCAGAGAAGTTACGTTGTCGATGAAACTTCAAAGATATCACCCTGTACACACAGTCAAATGCTTTCTCGTAGTCAATGAAAGTTGATGTTCAGTGATCAATCGCATTTAATTGGTTGCTCCACAATGATCCCTATTGTCACAACTCAGTCAGTACACGTTAACTAGTAAATAACAATTCCAGTGTTTAAATTTTCTCATATTTAAACCCGCCCATTCCGAAAGCTTAGTATTCTCGGACAGTGATTCACTCACAACTGTCCCGCTCAAATCGGAACAAGGTTGAACACAAAAAAGAGATTTTATCCCAATATCAATGTTAAATGGAAATACGAAGCTGACTAGGAAAAAAACGTTAGTTTATTTATAGTTTTTAGATGAGAAGATTCTAGAATGTTCGACTAGCGCTCATTGGATACGAAAGAGACAATCTAACAATGCAGCCATGTATGGAACATACTTTAATCCAATCTATGTCCCGATTACAATTATCTAAAAATAAACCGTTTTGTTTTACATAGGCGTAATTTCAGTCTACATGTATCAAGACGATATTTATTTCAGATATTTATATGTTACTTTCAACTTCATTTGGTCATTTTTGTTGGTAGTAGTAGACTGATTTTGAAGTTTCATGTTGATTGATAATCCAAATTAGCCATGTTCATTAGTATAAACTACTTATTCGGGATTGATTTGATAATCCTACCCAAGGAATAAAGATTTTGAATGTATTATATACGGCGAAGTTGCTGACAATGACACAAGTGCATTTATTGTATGTTTTGTTGTAATTTTCCAAACTTCAGAATTCCTTATGATTGTTGTGATTGAGTTATATTTTCATGAATATAGAGTTCACACGGATAATGTTTCTCTCTATGACTGTCACTGTCTGTTAGTGTCATTTGATTGAATTGTTTTAATTAATATACTCCAAGTGATTGAGTTGGATTGAAACTAGGGTACATCAGTTTTTGGACAAGACTAGTCAACAGTGTGCATCCACCTCACCCGCTAGTCGCGGAATTCGAAATTAAGATAACCAGTCTTGAAGTTTCCCAATGTCGTGAATCGGTCCAAGTGAGACATTCAGCCAGACAGTCAGTCAGATGCAACAAAGAACTTCGTACGTACGTACATAAGTTCAGGTTGCCATACTGTGGTGCTGTGTTGCGAACTACTTATAAGTAGTATATAGCGTGAGTGTCAACGTAAAGTCTGGTAGCATAATATGGGGGGAAGATCAAGAAAGGAAGAGTCAGAAAACAATGGAATTTGTATGAAACGCATGAAGAGTGACAATGGATTGATGTTTGGCAACAGGAACAGTCCAGTTCCATAGTATGAACTGATCTTTTGCAAATGAACGATTTACGATATGGTTTTCCGATTTTATTGACTAACTCTGTAATTTTCGTTAAATACAATTCGGTTGCCTCCACCTGTGTTCTCATTCACTACATTTGGTGTCGCTGCCTGCTCGAAGGAAGGGGCTCCCGTGGCCGAAGGAGTTGCAGGACGGAGATTGGTGGAGCTTCCTGGAGGAGTTTGGGGCCACGGTGGAGCTGGTGGGGGCCTGGGGCGGAGTTGACGGTGCTGGGGACGCTGTGGGGAGGTGAGGCGAAGGCGGTGCACGACAGCCTGGACGGTGCCACCAAGGAGACGGCGTGGGAGACGGTCACCGGGCGGCTGATAATGGAGTTCGACAGCCCAGCGGACAGGGAGGAGGCGCCGCAGAGGTTCCGGTTGGCGCGGCTGTCGGCCGATGGTGACCTGTTGGTGCTTGCTGTGGAGCTCACCGGATTGCGCCATGAGGAGTGGACGGGGCACAGTCTTTGGCGTCGCAATTTATCGAGTGTGTGCCTGCCGCCGTGTTCCAGCATCGGGAACTTGTGGACGCTACACGTTGGATAGATGCCGTATCCATTCCAGACCAGTGATCAAGAACGATGACCGAAGTGGTAATCCGGTATAGTGTAGCGTGTCACGGAATACGGAAGGTGATATTAACTGACCAGGAGCTCTGTTTTGAAGGACCACGACGACAGCTTATTAAAAGGGGGGACGAGTGTGGTGCTGTGTTGCGAACTACTTATAAGTAGTATATAGCGTGAGTGTCAACGTAAAGTCTGGTAGCATAATATGGGGGGAAGATCAAGAAAGGAAGAGTCAGAAAACAATGGAATTTGTATGAAACGCATGAAGAGTGACAATGGATTGATGTTTGGCAACAGGAACAGTCCAGTTCCATAGTATGAACTGATCTTTTGCAAATGAACGATTTACGATATGGTTTTCCGATTTTATTGACTAACTCTGTAATTTTCGTTAAATACAATTCGGTTGCCTCCACCTGTGTTCTCATTCACTACAATACCACATCAGCACAGTGATGTAATTGTCAATTCAAATCCAATAGTAGAAGAGGTAGTAAAGGTATTAGAAGTAATCGGAGAGGTTAGGATTAGAAGATATTTTTCAAGATGAATGATTCAGTGAGGTAAGTCTAGAAAGACAAAACTAGAAGGGTTGAAGTATCCAGAAGATAAGAATTTGAGAGAACACAAACACACGCATTGCAAACAGTTTTGAGCCATGTCATTCATCGTCTCTAACCATCGATTATTATCATCTCGCGAACCCCAACCAGGTAGTCGACACCTACCGATATGGCTCAGTCCACTCGTCAATGACTTCATGGATTTCTGCCATGGTTTGTTTTGGCTGTCCTTAGATTTCTTCCAACCTATTCCTACACTACAAAACAAAGCTCTTCGAGGCAGTCGGTGGTTGAGCATACGCAACACGTGTCCCAACCACCTCAACTGATGAAGTTTCACCACTTCATCTATTGATCTGTCATTCTTACCTAGCACCCGATTCCTAATAACAGCGTTGCTCACTCGTGTGTCCCAGGATATACGAGCAATACTTCGAAGACATCTATGATCAAAAACCATTAACCTACGAATATCTTCTACTGCGACTGGCCATGTTTCACAGCCATAAAGTAAGACGTAGCGAACTACTGCGCTGTACACTCATCATTTAGTCAGCGAAGGGAAATCTCGCCTACGCCATAACTAACTCAGATTGTCAAAAGTCAATCGAGCCTTCTGAAGTTAGACATTATCACCGTTAGACGCTAGCTGGTTCAGCTGGAGTAGCAGGTATCGTGGATGCGCACAGCTGACAAGTCTCATATCTACTATCTTTATATATTTTGTCATGAATTGTTTTTCTTTTCTAATTATGTTCCCTCATCTCTCCCTTTCTCTCTCTTTCTAGGTACAACACAATTTCATGCCTACATTCATATATTCTGTGTATATTCCATTTATCTAGATACACTGTTTTGTAATTTAGCATTTTTACAAACATTTTTCTCTAGTTTAGATACATGTTTACGTTTACATAATCCAATGCAATATTTATTATCTTTTAATAAAAAATCTATGCTATGGTTAAAAATTAGTTCACCATGGTTAATGGCTTGTTTACAATCAATCGGACAATTAGCTTTAAGCGATCATAATCAAATAGCTTTCTATTCAAACAATTTCATCAATCGGATGATACAATCATCGCCTCGATCACAGCAGATTAACAATAAATGGTATCCTTCTTCATCTATCTATTCACAATTCAATATGGTATGTTTATTGCAGGATGCAAATTTTCTCATTATTCGTACTGTGATCGCTTATGGTCTACCATTGATCACTTGTTTAATGCTGATTATGTTACAGTTGTGCAATTTACGTCGATTACGTAATTATCCGCCGGAATGGTTGCATGCTTTATTCAATATACATCATAATGAGAATAATAATAATAATAATAATAATAATAATAACACTAGCACTACTGACTACTTCACTTATTATCCACAATGGCATGCAAATATGAATGATGCATCATTGACGAGCAATTCTAATTATTCATTAAATCCTACAATCACTAGGGAGACATTATTATTACCAAATAATTTCCAGTCGATTTATCGACTGGAACCAATCAATTTGCCGATTACATCATCGATTTCAATGTATGCCTATCCTAAGTATGATCACATTCCAATAAAGACGAATTGTATTTCGGAAAATTCAGAAACACAGACGAATAATAGTTCAGTAGCACATATTTCCAGTTCTATTGAACCATTGAACACCATTGAACATCATCATTGTCTACCATCTTCGGTAGCATTCCACAATCCACCTCCTTCATCATCTCCTTCTCTCAGTCATCGTCATCATCATCCTCTACACAGTGATGCAATGACTTCTGAAATCAATAATTCAAAACCGACTAAAAAATTCCATAAATCAATATCTGATTATCAAATCAAATTAGAAAATAAAAATAATTCAATCAATCGTCATTTTCAACGATCGTATAGTTTAAAAACAGATACAAATCCATTAGTATCTTCACATCAAAATCAAATAATACGCCATAAAAATAATTTCAATCAATTCATTAAAACAAATTTATCATTGATAATTTATCAAACTGAACAATTAATTGTTGCAATTAATTTGATAAGTTGTATTCTAGCTATTGGTATTTGGTCACCATATATTTTAGCCACATTAATCTATGGTTTATGCCATCAACCAAATTATAATAACATATTCAGTAAAACAAATTATCCAGGCGGAAATTATGCAGATACAGATGTTAGTGTGAATCTATTCAATCCACATTCAATCAATCGTTGTTTTATCTATTTAAGTATTCATCGTTTATCTGATTTTCATTGGTGGGCATATGTATGTTCTGGATTGTTATTACCATGTTTATTATTTTTTCTTGATTTAAATTTACGTCAAGGTTGTTGGAATGCGTTACAATTCAATGTAAAATTGAATGACAATCAAAATTCAAAAAAATTGAATAATCACACTGATAATAAAGTTTTGAATGATAATAGAAATTGTAAACTGAATAATCAACCATCAATCAGTAGTCCTATGAATAATAATAATAATATTGATTATAGTTTGAACATTGAATCAAATAACAATGCGTTCAATGATCAACAATTTCAAATGACTTTGATTACGTCCCAAATACACACGGATTAAATCATTGCATTGATAAAGTTCAGGAGATTGAAGGGAAGAGAGAGAGAGAGGGAGAGAGACAAGGAGACAATACAGATTATTACATCATCGTGTTGCGTAACCATCTGACTGAATTACAAATAACGTTTTTTTATTATGTTGCAGTTAGAATGAAAACTGATTATTCTGACCAGAAGTGAGAAGTGTTGACATTTTAGTTGAAAATCATTGAAGACTACTGAATTAACCTATTTACTTACAGCTGTAATGCCTTGTTAGGCATAGACCACCGATCAACATTCCCGAATGAACTCTTAGCTTCGCTAACCTTTACAATTATCGATGCAATTTAATCTTTGGTCTGTTGGCTTTGTTGCCAGTCTCCGATCCTTGGCACAAACTAATCTTTTGTCCGTCTATACTGCTAGGACTATTGAAGATTCCAAGTTAGGAATTCCCTCGTGATATTCCAATCTGTAACATGTTTTCAATCACATGAAATTGTGCATGTGGTGTTTCTTTTTCGAGAAAAAAAATTAGTTTATAAGTTTTCATTCAATTTTTTGTATTGTAAATTGTATTTTGTAAAAAATGAAAATTTAACTGATTTGTACACAAAATTTCTGTAAAATAATTTGTAAAAAGTAATCTGTTTTCGGGTTTTTGAATGATTCTGTGTAGTTTGCAAGGTATGTAACCTACCCCAGCATCTTAATGTGGTTGCCTAGACCGGACAGATTATCATAAGGGATCCTTTGACCAGCAACCCATGTTGATATACTAGAATACAGGCCGGTAGGTAATCGTCCGAATGACGACCTAATGGATGAGAAACTGACCTCCGGCCGTGCACGACCACAGAATATCTTGAAGCTGCAATATGTGTTCAACATATCCATGTTCAAAGTAGTTCACACTTATTCAAACAGTTGGCTGCACTCTTCATCGACACATGCACCGAGTGATCTACCACTCATGGTTTTTAGTCAGTGATTTTATACATTGGTTAGCCAAATGCATTGGACTAATGGTTAACTCTGAAGCCCAGGATATTTACCGCTAACTAGGTGTGTATACAGTCTAGCACGAAGCCAGCTGCATGCAAGGTAGAAAACTCGTTAACGGTTAGGTAAATAGGGCGTGAAATGTTTGAAATATGAACAATGAGAGGCTGGAGTACATGTATATATAGAACACAACTCTCTTTGAAACTAGCATACATATATAACGTCAGTCACCGTCTCGTCAACCTTGGCAGATCAGGTAACTCAAGACAACCATCACAGCATGCGACAGGTTTAGTAACCCAGTTTCTCGCAAATCTTATCCTGATTCAGGTACCCAAGGAAAAAGGTACTATGATGTTACTGAATCACTAGATGGCCGTTTCTTCCTAATACAGGACTCGTTAGGAGTAGTGCGCATCCACAATTCCTATTAATTACAGGATCTAAACCCAGGACTTTCGGTCATACGCATGAACTCCAAACTTCTAGATCACTGGGTCAACCAGTACCTAACAGTGTTAAAGTCTAATTCTGATCAATCTAGGGATTTTGCACACCCTCACCTATTGTTTTCGGTAGGTACAGCCTACACCTGACAGGGTTGAAACCCACTGGTCGCGTCTTCTCACTAGAACGCTACACTCACTGGTGAACACATAATAATAAAACAACACTTACTTCCTGTGTAAAAAGAAGTCAGATTGAAATCGTTCAATAGAGCAGTGACATTTGTAAAAATACAGAGAAAATTAGTATTTTTCTAATTATTCATTATCGATAAAATTACTGGCGATCGCCAAAGAAAATTGATCATTCAAACATAAAGTTCATGGCAAAAAAAACCTTGTAGCCGATTGCGTTTCTTTCCGTCTCTTCAATGTATTTGTTGTCAAACTTTTTATGTCACTTCATAAATGCATTTACATGTAATTGCAATATGGTATTGATTTTTTTTTCAGTCGATGATGTAATCGAGACTTTCATTCATTTCGATTGGTTGTTTGAAATTTTCTTCCCAGTGACATTTCGAATTGTAATTTGATCGGTTTCATTTAACATAACTGTGTGTGTGTATGTGTATGTGTAACTTATGCGCATTGCTTCTATAGCAATTCGTACGGCATACTTCTTCGCGCGATAACAAATTTTACTCTACGAACTCAAAGAATCAAGTGAGAAATAGATTATAGAGGAAGAAGTATATTTGAAACTGGCCTCGTGATATCGAAATGATATCGAAGCAGGAGGGCGTACAGACAGGTAAAGTCCATGCAGTACACATGTGAAGAGGAGAAAGGGAATAACACGTTTGGCGCGCGAGAGATAGTCTTTAGTATAGAAGATAAACAAGAGGTGTACAATATAACAATTATTGTCAGAATTAAGTACAATAATAAATGTTTATATTTCAGCAGTTGTGTTTTCTTTTTGAAAGTAAATCATTACACTTCCATTGACTATTTTTTAAATTAGAAACATTAGAAGCTGGTTAGATGTAGGTTGCAGAACACACTTTTTTTATAAATGAAACTTCGTCTAGAAGACAAAAACTAGTTCACTAGTTCTCTGAGCTGGATGTTTTTTGGTTGTGGAGCTTTCATTGTTCTTCTGAACAACATCATCAGCAGCACAAACTTCAGATAGAAGTGTAGTACTCGAATTTCTCCACGTGTCTGACCTGTGGCTTGTTTTGCTAACCTCGCTTTGATTGGTTGTTGTTGACCTTAAACCTGTCGTTGTTTGCACATTTGTTTTGATTGTATCCTCCTTTTGATCTTTCTCTTGATCCTAGTGTCACCTATGATTTTCCTGATTGGTTGATAAATTTGGACAGTGTCGATGTGTTTGTTGATTGCTGATTAATCTGAGTGACAAGCTTCTAAACATTCATTGTCCTCCCCCTACCCAGTATTTCCACATTGTTCCAATCGAATGTGTGTCCATAATGGTCGAGGTGTATTGATATAAGCGAAGCGTTGTCGTGACGTTTGACTGCTAATTGGTGTTCACGTACACGAAGCTGGAGAGGCCGTCCACTTTGTCCTATGTTGTGTTTTTCAAAGTTTGAGCAGTTGTTTATTTGCCGAAACTGGACCACCATCCTTAAATATCTCCAGGGTTAGCTGATCAGGACCTGCTGCCCTAACTCGCTTTAGATCTCCCATAGCTTTCTCCACTTCATGTAGACTAGGAGGACTTAAATCGTGCAGGTGGCCACTAATAAAAGTCGATTATTTTTTTTCTAGGGCCGAACGACAAGTGCTTAATTCGTAGTCGTCACACAAGCAGAAGTAAGTGTCGTATCTTCTAACAGCGACGAAACAAGAAACATCAATACAGTGCCAACGCTCGAAGCAGAAAATAAATCCGACATAGAAACATAAATCAAATGAAAAATAACCTTAAATCTCAGTAAAAATACTTCATTTTGCTGAGAATTTGTTATAGCAAATTTATCCGTATGTATAACCAGTATCGACTTATTGGTAAACTCTCGATGAAATCTGCTCATGAATGCAGACCGTTCAGTGGTGATCAAAGGAATTATCACCGAATACGTTTCTGTTAGTTTAGTGGTATCAAAAGACAGTAGTCACGAATAAGCAAATGCATTATCTCGAACGCTGAAAAACGCTCTCTATGAGTCTGAAATCGTTTATCACAAACAAGCAGTATTACAAAATATTGATGTTCAGCTCAGGAGACCAAGGTCTACCAACACAACTTCTTCAGTACTCAAAAAATACTACCCGGAAAATTAGTTATTTCGTGCAATTTTCCCACGGGCCGAACACTTCCATTTATACCGAAGTAGCTGGGACAAATCGTTTTTGAAGCTTTGCATAATGTGTCACATCTTGGAATTGGGGACGTGATCAATCTAATCAGCGAGCGCTTTTTATGGTCGTATAGGAACCGGGATGTTCGTAACTGGATAATGGCGCGTATAAAATGCCAGAAATTTGTATTACATCGTCTAAAAAAACACATGAATAATCAGAGAATAACGCATTCGAGGGAGGGTCAACATTAAAGAACCGAGCCATGTATTTTTTAGATAGGATATTGTACAACGTCCCTTAAAAATAACATCTAATAGTCGATTTAAAGTAATTGGAAGCAACGATAATGATGTTCCGGTAGACAAAGCTAGAAAAACAGATGTGATTAGCATGCAGTGAGTCAAACCAGCCTTTTGAGAAAGTGACGAAGAACTAATAAGCACAAATTCTTAGAAAACCATAGAATCGTTGAAACGCGAGTTTTAAACATCAGCGGCAGCAGAGAAGAAAAGTGACGAAAATTTTGTAAGGACTAGATATGGACTAAGAGCTGGATGGACCTAAAGATCTATCGGGACGATTTCGAATTGAAATTTTCTTTCGCCGTTTCAAATTTAATTTTTTTTATTTACGCTGAACACGCACGAATACATCTATTTCGATGTTGGGATGTTATAACCTGAAAAACTTTTCATATTTTTATGATGTCTGTTAACATTCGACCTCACGAACGTACGCGAACAAGATTATTATATTTGTCCTATATTTTGATATTTTCCTATATGTTTTTTCTCACAGACACTTTTGTATCCTTGTTTTCTGAGAAGGAAGCTATTTTGACGCCTCCACATTCATGTGAATTCGTTCAAATTTAATTTGGCTAGACACGCATTAACTTGTATGTAAATTTGGCTTTGATTCCTATCTGGTTAGTATAGGCTGGTACAACTGGATTTCGCTCAACGCCTACGTACACATGTAACTAATTCGATTTTATGTTAGCATCAGAAATAATTCGATGACTCATTTGTTTAACTATGTATATACGGGTAAATTTAAACTCGCTCATTCGCTTGACTGTTTTCCGACATTCGGATACTGATTACTGCTTTGTATGCCTGTGGTTTTGATGGTCTTTTTGTGGTTCACCAAAATAACGTATTCAACGCTTCGAATTTGTCCTTTCGCTTATGAAACCTCAGTAACATTGACAAGCGATTCAGGGTGACTGAAGATGGCAGTAACCAAAGTGTGGCTGAATGCCAGTTGAATCGAGATTTAAAGTGTTCTGCTCATCGAACCTATCTCCTGGATTAGGAATGTATGATAGCGAGACATTCTGGCTAACAGTGTAATTCCTAATGCAGCTTCCGTAATAAATCTGGAAGGTCTTCTACTGTTACCTACTGCCGTTCATATTAGTCTGTGCTCTAACTGACTTAGTTCATCATCATAATGAACGGTGAACGAGATCAACATCCAGGCATTTATCAGTTCAGCAAACATTTCTACGATCAACCGTTTACCTTATCAGCAGATATCACCGATGTATCCAAACACTTCTGTGTATCGTTCCAAGCTGCAAAAATGTATGAACCACTTACGCGTTTGCCTAACTGTTTTTCTCCTGTAATGTACATTTGGATCTGTTATTATTCGGCTTAACTCAAGGAAATTTTTGTGCTGATCTTTTGTTACGCGGTGGTTTTACATCATCTTCCTAATGTCAATATATATTGCAAAACGAGCGACAGTCGCCTCTCGAGTGG